TTCTCTATGCAGTGAAAGTTCCAATAAAAGGTTTATGCATTTACTTTACTAGGGGTGTAACAATAACAAAAAAATGTTTATATCGTATCGCCAAAAGTCTGAATAATATTGTGGACTGTCACAACATATGGAATCACAAGTTTCTTTGCTTAAATTAAGAGTTATGGTGCAGCAATATCTAAAAAAACACCGAGGGAACTACATAGACCATGATCCTTTGCTCCATTTCAGAGAAGAAATAACAGTTCTAAGCAATTTTAAGTCTCAGTTCTTTGGAAAAGTCTTGTTAAGGCGCTAAAAAAATCTGTCAAAATGTTTTAGTACGACTTTGGCAAACTACGACGTCGCACAGCTTGATGGATTGTCGGAGGATTACAGCAATCGTAGTCGGGAGTAAATTAGTCCAACAGAAGCTGAACCACATCAGCGCATAAGGAGTGAGTTTTTTTAGTTTATGATATAAATTAGTCATGTAGTTTTAAGCTGTGGGAGGCAACACCGGGCGAATTATGCCACGATCTGCTGATGGATCGTAGACGCCTGCACTAAGGATCAGTCTCAAGTGTCGTCTGTTTGTTTTGCTTAATGCTCCGGTGCAATTTATGTATGAAAATAGACGAGAGAATTCAACATTATTGGTATTGCGCCTTAGAATCCAGTGCACCTTACAGCCCGAGAAATACGGCATTTCTCAATCTTTTTTAACCAACTTTAGCACTGATTTATTGCGTCAATATTGGTCCCGTCACTGCGAAATAAAAACTGAGAGTTGAAAGTGTTCTCTGTCTGAATGTGTGAGCTACACGTCTCTGTGTGTGGAGGAGTTTTTTTAACTACAGCTGCGCAAAGATGCACAACTTTCCCGAGCTCGAGCGAGGCGCAGAACTTTCATGCCCGCGCCAAATGAGTAAATAAAGACTGGGATAAATTCTTGCGAGACGGTTTTAACCTGTGTGTGCTGCATTTTTACAGATAAATACCAGATCATCAGCTTCAGCTCTTTCACTCGCTCACTTGTTTCTCCTGTTGTCCCATAAAAAACCTCAGAATGTAAATCCAGTCAAGGTCAAAACTTAGAATCAACTGTGTAACTCCCCCTCATGATTTAATACGAAGATCAGTGTTGGGAGTGTTACTTTTAAAATGTATTCCCCTACAGATTACAGATTACATACACCAAAATGTAGTTTGTTACTTAAAGTGAGTAATGTAATCTGAATACTTTGGATTACTTGATTTGCTGTAGAGAAACAGACGAGGAAATCGTAACATAAGAAGTTTTGTCTGATAAAAGAAAATGAAAAGCCCAGACTTTACTGAACCAAATTAAAAATACAGTTAAGTAAAAAAAAATAAGGAGACACGGTCCACACAGCCTGATTTAGTCCTGTTAAATCCCGGTTTTAGTCCCGGTTTTAGTCCCGGTTTAGAGCTTGGTTTAGAGCCTGGTTTTAGTCCTTGGTTTAGTCCTGGTTTAGAGCTTGGTTTTAGTCCAGTTTTTAAGTTTTAAGTCCCGGTTTAAGTCCCGGTTTAAGTCCCGGTTTAAGTCCCGGTTTAAGTCCCGGTTTAAGTCCCGGTTTAAGTCCCGGTTTAAGTCCTGGTTTAGAGCTTGGTTTAGTCCCTGGTTTAGAGCTTGGTTTAGAGCTTGGTTTTAGAGCTTGGTTTTAGAGCTTGGTTTTAGAGCTTGGTTTAGAGCTTGGTTTTAGAGCTTGGTTTAGTTTAGTCCTGGTTTAGTCCTGGTTTAGAGCTTGGTTTTAGAGCTTTTTAGAGCTTGGTTTAGGCTTGGTTTAAGCCTTGGTTTAGTCCTTGGTTTAGTCCCGGTTTAGTCCCGGTTTAAGTCCCGGTTTTAGTCCCGGTTTAAGTCCCGGTTTAAGTCCCCGGTTTAGTCCCGGTTTAGTGTCCGGCAATGAGTGGAATTACCGAGAAAAAAAAAAAAAAAAAAAAAAAAAAAAAAAGGATATAGTCCAAAATGTGAAAACATGAAAATACCGCTGTGTATCCATTTACTTCAACAATTCAAACATCAATTCCCACTCACTGAAACAGTAACTGTAACTGAATACAGTTACTCATAATTTGTACTCTGATTACATAACTCTGGTACATGTAATCTGTTACTCCCAACACTGACTAAGACAGATCCATTTCCATCTTATTGTAAAAAATAACCTTCAGGAATCTCGTTTAAGAAGTCATTTGAGTAATTCACATTTTCATTTTTGACACGTTTCCTTATATGAACAGCCTGTTGCGACTAAATATGTCGGTTGCTCCGGCTTCCTCTTTTTCATTTATCTCTTACTATAAGACAGACGCTTCCTTTCCCCACCATCTGTTTCGTTTCGATCATGTAGTTCCCCTTCTCCTTTAGTCTCTCGAGGTTGTATCTGGAGTGATTCATGACAGTTTGATTCATCTTTATTCTACTGTATTCAAAACGTCACTGTCCTGATCAAATCATTTTCACGTCAGTCTGTCACGTGCTCATTTTTCATTTTATTTTCTAAAATCGGTCAAACATGTAAACAGAATGGAGTTTTGTTGTTGGTCACATTGGGTCCCGCAATTTCCCAACATGTAAGTTAATAGTGATGTAACCGGGGGTGTAGTGGGAGTGGTTTGTGGGGTTTCACCGTCCACCCACTTCTCCCGACGTGAAATATAAAAAATAACAAAATATAAAATAGTTACAACTTAAATGTCAAACTGGAGCTACTGGCGATGGTGGAAACAAACTGCACAGGCTCATGAAACCTGCAGGACTGTCCTATAGTGACCTGAGACATGAGGAACCAGGACTGAACCAGGACTGAACCAGGACTGAACCAGGACTGAACCAGGACTGAACCAGGACTGAACCAGGACGAGCCCGGAGGTGCGCCTGTGTAGACCGTCAGGTGATTGTGGGAGAAAGGATCGGACTGAGTGCAGCCGTCGCCCAATCGCGCTTTGCGGACACCCTGCTCCACGGGCTCAGGGTTCTCCCTCAAGTTCTGTCAAGTCCTCGTTCCGGCCTCGTTCCGGCCTCGTCCCGGCCTCGTCCCGGCCTCGTCCCGGCCTCGTCCCGGCCTCGTCCCGGCCTCGTCCCGTCCGTCCGTCCAGTCCTAGTCCGTCCAGTCCTAGTCCGTCCAGTCCTAGTCCGTCCAGTCCTAGTCCAGTCCAGTCCTCCAGTCCGTCCAGTCCTAGTCCGTCCAGTCCTCCAGTCCAGTCCAGTCCTAGTCCGTCCAGTCCTCCCTCCCCTCCCGGTTCAGTCCTAGTCCGTCCAGTCCTCCCTCCCCTCAGTCCGGTTCAGTCCTAGTCCGTCCAGTCCTCCCTCCCCTCCCGGTTCAGTCCTAGTCCGTCCAGTCCTCCCTCCCCTCCCGGTTCAGTCCTAGTCCGTCCAGTCCTCCCTCCCCTCCCGGTTCAGTCCTAGTCCGTCCAGTCCTCCCTCCCCTGCCGGTTCAGTCCTAGTCCGTTCAGTCCTCCTGCCCAGTCCTCCGGTTCAGTCCTCCCGGGTTCAGTCCTCCCGGGTTCAGTCCTCCCGGTTCAGTCCTCCCGGTTCAGTCCTCCCGGGTTCAGTCCTCCCGGGTTCAGTCTCCGGGTTCAGTCCTCCCGGTTCAGTCCTCCCGGGTTCAGTCCTCCCGGGTTCAGTCCTCCCGGGTTCAGTCCTCCCGGGTTCAGTCCTCCCGGGTTCAGTCCTCCCGGGTTCAGTCCTCCCGGGTTCAGTCCCGGGTTCAGTCCTCCGGGTTCAGTCCTCCCAGGTTCAGTCCTCCCAGGTTCGTCTCCGGTTCAGTCCTCCCGGTTCAGTCCTCCCGGGTTCAGTTCGGGTTTCCGTCCTCCCGGTTCAGACTTGGTTTAATTCTGGTTCAGTCCTGGTTTAGACCTGGTTCAGTCCTGGTTTAGACCTGGTGTTGTAGCCTATGATTTATGTTCTGTAGGTGATTATGAAAGGCTTTACTGTTAATCTTAATAGTTGGGCAGTATTCGTCACATCACAAATCGCGTGCCCCCACTTAAAAAATCCCCACTACACCACTGGAAGTAACAATAACCAAATATCATGATATCGTATCGTCAAAAATCTCACAATAAAACCACGGGCCAATACAATACATCAAATTACAAGACTCTTCACTTAAAGGTCGTATGGAGGATTTTTTTTGTTTTGTTTGTTTGTTTCAAATTGTCAATGAAAGTTTAAAATACCATTACAGAGATGCAGCAGCTTTGTAATTATGATGATCAAAAAAAAAAAAAGAATGAAAATCCATCAACTGTGGACGTGTTGAGGCCAGATAAACATCAGCCAATAGAAAACGAGACTCCCTCATTTTCTATTGGCTGTTAGGTTGTCAATCAAATTCCCTAGTGTAAGTGACTCGCCGGCGCTTGGGGATTATGTGGTTTATGCAGCGGTTCTTGGAGGCTTTTTTAAACTGTCGCTTCCTCGCATTTCGCACAAAGTTTGTGGAGACGGCGGACGAGAATCCACGACCAGTTCCCCGCAAAAGAAAGTCCGTTTTTGAGGTCGCTGAAAGAAAAAGAGAAGGGGAAAAGGAGCGAAGACAAACTGAGGTGATTCTTGGAGATTCCTTCCACCGATGGTGCGACCGAAGCAGACGAAGGGTCTAAAAACTGACGCGTCGGTCGATAAATTACCTCTAGACAGGAAACCTCAACAGTGATTCTGAACGCGCACAAGGACTCCCGCTGTATTTCTCTTCCCTTAAAAAAATCCTCTATACAACCTTTAAATATTCACTGTTATGGTGCAGCAACAGATAAAAACAGAACTACAGAGACCATGATGCTTTGCCGTTTCAGTCCAATCTACATAATTAACATTTAAAAGTCATTTCGTTATTTGGATTATGACGAGATAGACAAGTTTAAAGCCATATTGCAGAACATTCCAGGCAACCCTCCAGGAGAAAAGTTACACAGTGCTCTTTTACATTAGTCACTTATTATTTTTGCCTCGGAGAAGTTTCACGTTGCTTCTTTAAACTGAATAAACTTACGGTGGCGGCCATGTCCTTTCCGTCGTCCATCAGAGCGTCGGAAAACTTGTTGGAAGGCATCGCTGGGAGAGTCGACAGGTCCAGGGCTTTTTCTGGCTCCTTTTCAAACCTGGAAGACGACAACACCACACATGTGTTAATTTTCATCTAATTTACAGAATAAATAATTAACAACGACACACTTTTTAAATCGTCACACCATGTTAATCATTCATTTATTCTGATTTTTTTTTTTTTTTTGGATAAATGTTACAGCGCATTCTGTTTCAACAATAATCAACAGATACATAATAGGCTCGTCCATCAAAGTACGGTAAAAAAATAAAGTTTCAGATAAGATTAGAAACCTGCACTGGGTTTTAGCGTCCAAAAAAAAAAAGACGACTTGGGAAGAAATTTGGAAGAAAAAGGAGATGTTTTAGAGGTTGCTCAAGCTGCATCATTTTGCATTTTCAAGTAACTTTTATGGACTTAAAGTCATTTTTATGCAAGTTTCCGTTTGTGTTTGGAGAATAAAATGACAAATTATTCAAATCTGCCTTATTTATTTGGTTCACTATGGTCTAATACACATATATATTTATTTTTTTAAGTGTCTTTAGCAACCGCAAAAATATTTTGGCCAGATATGGAACCAAATGCAGGTTCTAATCAAGAGAATATTTAAAACAACTAAACATTAGTTTTTTGCATGAAATCTGAGTATTAATGTTAACAAACAGAAAACAATTTATTAACTAATTTCATATTAATACTGTTAATCGCTAAATGTTTTTATGGCTCTAATTAAGTTATTCATAGTTAAACATTTAATATTTACATGATGTATTTACAAAGTATGTTAATATAAAAGTTAATGACGCATTATTATTGAACTGTGATTAAACTGAGGAGTGATTCATATTGAGATAAAGATTCTATGTACTTCTGCTTATCATAAAGTTAAGATTAATTAATATATTAGTAATATTTAACTAAACGTGGAACATCTTATAATAAAGCTGGAACAGTATAAAGTATTTACAAATATTTCTTATAACTTTTATTAACGATGGCAAATATTTTACAGTGGGTCAATCACATAATCGAGTAATAGTAATAGAGTAAAAGTAAAGTAATAGGGTAATAGAAATAGAGTAATAGTAAAGTAATAGTAATAGTAGACTAATAGTAATAGAGTAAAAGTAGAGTAATAGTAATAGAGTAAAAGTAGACTAATAGTAATAGAGTAAAAGTAGAGTAATAGTAATAGAGTAAAGTTAAATAGTAATAGAGTAAATAGTAATAGAGTAATAGTAAAGTAATAGTAATAGAGTAAATAGTAGAGTAATAGTAATAGAGTAAAGTAATAGTAGTAAAGTAATAGTAATAGTAAAGTAATAGAGTAATAGTAAAGTAATAGAGTAAAAGTAACGTAATAGTAGAGTAATAAAGTAATAGTAAAGTAATAGAGTAAGAGCAAAGTAATAGTAAGTAATAGTAACGTAATAGTAAAGTAATAGTAGTGTAATAGTAATAGTAAAGTAAAAGTAAAGTAATAGAGTAAAAGTAAAGAGTAATAGTAGAGTAAAAGTAAAGTAATAGTAATAGTAACAGAGTAATGGTAAAAGTAGAATAATAGTAAAGTATAGTTAATAATAGTTAATGCAAACAACTAAAGTAAAGTAATAGAGTAATAGTAAGGTAATAATATAGTAAAGTAATAGTAATAGAAGAGTAATAGTAACAGTAATAGTATTTTTATAGTAATAGTAAAGTATAGTACAGTTAATAATAGTTAATGCAAATAACTAAAGTTTAGTTAAATGATGTAAAAACTGAACTTGTGCCAAACTGATATTTTAGTAACAATTAACAAATATTAACAAAGGGTTTGGTAATTACCATTTATTATAAAGTGTTACCCAAAATCACTATAAAAATGTTTGTCGAACAAGTCCGAGCAAAGAGCGGCACAGTACTTGGACTAGTTTTAAAAGGCCGTATAACGACCACGGCGGAGCACGAAGATCCTTCAAGTGTAAATAAGGGGGAGTAACAAAAGAATTCCAGCTGGCAGACGGATACAGAGCTATATTTTTATCAGTTCTGTCACACGGGACCTTTATGAAGACAAACCTGTGCGAAATACTTTTACTTTTTATGCCCCTGTATCTGTATTTTTACTTAAAACTGCGTACTTCTTCCACCTCCGACTACAATGTGTGAAACGTGTCCAAAATGGGCGCAAAAAACCATTATTTATTTAACATCATTGTCGAATATCTTGGACCAAACCGAGCAAATCGAGAAGCGACAACTGACAATGTTACACGAACGAAACCCCCCAAAAAATTGACAAAGAGCAATGGGCTGAAGCTGGCATCGAGGATCGCGGGACATGCCTGTACATAACCTCACCACGAAAGAATAATAAAAAGTAATGGATACGACTTTAGTGCATTCTTATGGCTCGTTTCATGCATTTCGTGTGTCTTTACTATGCGTGCGTGTGCGTTTGTGTGCGTTTGTGTGCGTGTACATTCATTTAGGATTACTGGGAGGCGACAGGTCAAGAGGTTTGCCGAACAAGTCCGAGCAAAGAGAGGCGCAGTCCTTGGACGTGTTTTAAAAGGCCGTATAACGAGCACAGCCGAGCACGAAGATCCTTGAAGTGTAAATAAGGGGGAGTAACAAAAGAATTCCAGCCGGCAGACGGATACAGCGTGATATTTTTTAATCAATTCTGTCACAAAGGACATACCGATATTAAAACACAGCATGCATATTTATAAAAAGTTATTTAAACGATGTAAAATTTGCTTTAGACATGTTTTGATGAGTGGATAACGATATAAAAAAAAGTTTGAAAGATTGCATATTGTTTCATTCAAAGGAGGATTCTCTGAGCACTCAAAAATGCTGTTCGTTTTGGTCCAGGATTGTTGCGTCACAGGTAAAACTCATGACTTCTCCTGTGCAGTTTTTAAGCCCATAAATCAAAATCACCACCAGAATCTGTCAAATGTGTAGGATTCAGCAGCGTCGCATTTTGGTACAAATTTTAAAAATTCACCAAATTCCAGAGGAAATACTTAGAAGGAATGAACGATTTTATCACCAACTGAAACATCAGAGTGGAGTAAACTCGGCCCTTTCCTGCTGAGTTCACCTGGCGCCCCCTGGAGGCTGTTGTGATGCTGCAGGACACACAGGAACGACTGTTTTGGCTCTTCCTCTCCTCAAACTCTCCTGACACAGATTAATTAATCACTGCATTTATATAGTTTCAAGATCCCCAAAGTGCTTTAAAGTTCATTATTCAGTCACTCAACACTCAGTGGTGATAAACTACTACTGCGGCCACAGCTGCTCTGGGGCAGACTGACGGGAGCGAGGCTGCCAGTCTGCACCATCAGCCCCTCCACCACCAACACTCACACACACACCACTTTCATAGTAGGCAATGTAGGTGTTTTGCCTAAGGACACAACAACAGTTTTTGCCACTGGTGCCTCCTGTGGCTCCTGGAATTCCCAGTGTCTCCCATAGAGTCCTGACCAGACCCGGCCTTCCTGAGCTCCTGAAATCTGACAGGATCAGGCTTTGACGAGCCGGTGTGACCACACAGATCTGCACATCCTCCCTGACCTGTCGTCCTGTGAAACTGCACAAGATCTGTAGTAAGTCTTTATTTATACAGCGCTTTTCACAGACATTTTTTGTCACCAAGTCGCTTTACAGAACATTATTCAGCATTATTCATTCACTCTATACCTGGTGATGGTAAAATACTATTGTAGCCACAGCTGCCCTGGGGCAGACTGACAGAGGCGCGGCTTCCATGCCAATCAGCACCATCTGTCCCTCTGACCACCACCATCACTCACACACACACACCACTTTCATACTAGGCAATGTGGGTGAAGTGTCTTGCCTAAGGACACAACAATTATTCCCACTGGTGCCCACTGTGGCTCCTGATTTTTCCCAGTGTCTCCCATCCCAACTCTCTCATCGTACTAACCAGACCAGCCATGCTTAGCTTCTGAGATCTGACAGGATCAGGCTTTTTACAAGTCAGTATGGACACTGTGTTTGACTCAGACACAAAGGCCACTGAGGCTCCATCACACGTACACGGGTATTTTTAAAAAGAGACATTTCCCTTTGTTCACATCTTTTACACACAAAAGGCAAATTTGCCTCTGAAAACTAATCTTTCTAAAGTGAGAAACAGTTTTAGGAGCTGACGCGCCAAAATTGAGACCAGTGTTTCCCTCTTGCTCTGATGATGCAGCATCAGAGCAGCCGTCACATTTCTTCTGCTGAAACACTTCTCATGTGTTTGCATTTGCACACAGCTGATGTTTCATATCCATGACCAGAGACCAATGAGGCTCGAAGGTCAGTGATTGTGGAGAGGCGAGTCCCCTCAGTAATGCACGTTTTTCAAGGTATTTGTGAATAAAACTTACAACTGTAATGAAATAAATGCTACAGGTTTGAATCTAATCCAGGTGCAGCCCAGAGGTTTGGCGTAATTATGACGACGCTCGATGGAGTTTTTATGCAGGTTGAAGTAAACTAGCTCTTTTTTCAAAATAACACTGTGTGCACGATGTTATTTTGGAAAACAGAGGGAAGGAAATATTTGTTTCTCAACATCCCCGGCTCTGTGTAAACGCAGCCTGAGACATACAGTGGAAATGTTGCTGCAGCAAAACTTTAATTTCTCTAGGGATCAATAAAGCACCACTCTCTCTTCACAGCTTTGTTGAGATGACGTCAGCTCCCATTGGGCACCTCAGTTTTCTGACGCAGAACTCAGCAGACTAGTTTTCTTTCATAATGTTGTTTTAGATGAATATTGCAAATTACAACGTGCAAATAATATCACACTGATCCACAGGTGTCATAGATCATTTCCATTCTATAAAAGCACAGTATACAACATTATTAAACCATTTGTCTGTGTCACGTGGCCTAAACTAACCTGAGAACGTTTAAGTGCCCCCACCATGGCCTCTGCGCTGAAGTATGAGGAAGAGGAGTACAGGGAGAATCCCACAGAGTTCTTGGCACACACTTCTCACAGATAACTGACAGCCAAGTCTCACTGATAAACGA